AATAATAATAATAATAATAATAATACAATCTACACCCATTCAACTCTTGCTGACACTTTGTAGGGTTTTGTGGTCTAAAAGCTTAATAGAAGCTATTTTTAATAGCTTAAAAAACTACAATTTTACTGTCATGGGCTTTCATCGATGGCTGTTGTTTAAAGATGTCAAGGGTGAAGATGTGGTGAAGTTAACTTTGGCGTTGAAGATAGCTCGGCAGGACCTCACAAAAGCCCAGCTGAAGCTGAACGCAATGGTAGCAGACTATGGAGATGTCGTGCCCAGGAGAGATTTTGAATCACTGGAGAAAAAACACTCTGATTTACTTCAGGAGGTGAGCATAAGCTCCTCATTTTCAAGCTGTACCACAAATACAAACATAACATGGTGCTTCAATAGTCAGGTTGAGACAGGGACTCAGTAAACCTAGAGGTCACATATGGGCATTTGGTTTTTGTACATATGTGAAGCCACTGTCTTCTAATCCTCAAAAGCTCCCTTTCTATTGGAATCACATACTGCCAGAGCACTCAAAATTAGTGTACTGCCACAAACCCTTAGCATCAGTTTTAACTTAATTAACACAGTAAAAGCTATAATGGCCCACAGACCGCCAAAAGCCCACAGATCACAGCTTGAGAACTACTGTCTGAAGTAATCACATATATAGAAACAAATGAACTAGGTTGACCTCACATTTGCACAGTTATATCCAAACCACGGCTAACTGAAACTACTGCTGGGCCACTAATGCTTATCTGTCTAGCTGGGTTTTTGCCTTTTCCAGTGGTATTAAATGGCTTCTTTAGCCAAGGTCATCAACTGAACTATGGGGCTGATGAACGCATTTTCCAGCTGTGAAAGAACTGGACTAGGTTCCTCATGTCGTATCTGTTTGCTGCCTTTTCACAATACATGTTTGCTTGGCTTGCACTGGAGACGCACAGGAGCAACGCCATGTTCACATGCAGGACAGCGAAGGGATAACACACACCAGTGGCTAGGATGGGGTCTGCTTCCAACCCCACAGTGGCAGAGTGGCAGTGACCTGATCTCCAGAAGGAGGTAAAAAAGAGAACACATTGGATCCCACCACGTAGCTAGCACACAGCTGTGAAGAGGGATGGTTGAAAACCTCCATTAACTCCAGTAATTTAACTTGTGCTTCAGAAGAGCAGTGCTGGGCTGTCCCAGGTACATTTGGGCTGTTGGCAGCTCCATTCCAGCCCTGGCTGTCACAGAATCATTAAGGTTGGAAAAGACCTTTAAGATCATCAAGTCCCACCATCAACCCAACACCCCCATGCCCACTAAACCACATCCCGAACTGCCACATCCACATGTCTTTTGAACACTTCCAGAGATGGTGACGCCACCACCTCCCTGGGCAGCCTGTTCCAATGCCTGACCACTCTCTCGGTGAAGAAATTTTTCCTAATATCCAGCCTAAACCTCCCCTGGCGCAACTTAAGGCTGTTTCCTCTCATCCTATCACTAGTTTCTGGGGAGAAGAGACCAACACACACCTCACCACAACTCCCTTTCAGGTAGTGGTAGAGAGCGATGAGGGCTCCCCTCAGCCTCCTCTTCTCCAGACTGAACACCCCCAGCTCCCTCAGCCGCTCCTCATCAGACTTGTGCTCCAGACCCCTCCCCAGCTCCGTTGCCCTTCTCTGGACATGCTCCAGCACCTCAACATCCTTCTTGGAGTGAGGAGCCCAACAGTAATGGTACAGCTTGATCCACTGTTCATGTCCCGACCTTGCAGCGTAATGAATACAGGCACAACCCTCAAAACCCAGACTAGAGCTGTGGTTACCTCTGAATCACGATGTATCTTTGTAGTAGTATACAAAGATAAATCATATAAAAAAGAAACTTCCTAAATAAAGTATAGTGGATCTGAAGGGGATGCATTTAAAAATTTCTACAACAAAAACCTATGTTTCTCTTGCTCTCTCTTAATTAGTGGATTAAGATCTATTTTCTGTTTTTATTTTTTTTAAGATCTATTTTCTATAAGTGGATTTTGCTCTCTTAATTAGTGGATTAAGATCTATTTTTAAACACAAGAACAGGTATAAAAGGGTCATTGACATTTTTTGTCAGAAGTTTTTGTAAACGGTAACAATAAAATTTAATAAATCATTTATTTTTTTCCCATCTAGAAGCCATTAGCCAGGGACAGCTCTCCATATGTCTATGGATTACACTGACTGCTCGCTGGAGCTGTCTGACAGCAACAGAAAATTTCTGCTACTGTGGTTAGTTTGTTACAGTCCTCCTTTCTGTACCCTTTAGATGAAGACTCTGCAGAAGGATTTTAATCAACTCCATACAGAATATGAAACACTGCTAGAAATCCACAGAGAGACTGCAGAAGAGCGAGACAACTTCTGCGCTGAACTCCAGCGAGTTCAGCACAACCGCACGCCCCGGCCCAACTGGGCAAAGTGTTCAGGTGCCAAAAGTATTCAGTAGTGGTTTGCTTAATGCAGCTCATCTTTAAACACTTTCCTATGGTGCATTTCTCACCTGCCACAGCCCATTTTCTCCTCGGCTTTTAGGCAGTGGGCCGAGAGAGGAGCTTGCAGCGTATTCCATTTTGCCTTCGACCTCTTAGGAGACAAACTAGATGTCTCGAGATCTGTATCTATCATAAGGCTCCTAGTGGGAGTCACACAAAACCCAGTATATGCGAGCAAGTTCTCCTTTTCTAGCAGCTCAGCGTCTTTTTGCCATTGCAGAGGTGATTCCTGGTGGAGCTGAGCGGTGGGGCTATCTGGCTGAGGGGAAGACCAGCGATCAGCTGGTGGATGTTCTTCTGGAAGAAATAGGAACAGGAGTGCTGAAGGAGATAAACGTCTTCCCTGGATGGGTATGTGCAAGCTTTCTTCTCTGCTTGCTTCCACTGAGATTAATTGGTAATAAATACCCATTAGGAAGGTGGGAGAATTGCTTTCATGGCTAGTGTCTTCAATATTCACCTTCCCATTAGTGTAACCACCAAAAACTTTCAAGCTAGAAAAACTCAGGTGCAATAGAAAAGCTGAAATTGGGAGTGGGCATACTGAAGACACAGCTGAAGTATTAGAATCACAGAATCATTAAGGTTGGAAAAGACCTTTAAGATCATCAAGCCCAACCATCAACCCAACACTGCCATGCCCATTAGCCACGTTTTACAATGATGCCATGTGAATCAGACATGCAGGTGTTACTCGTGGGCTAGAGCCCCTTACTGATGCTGCACTATATGGCTGAGACAAATTAAGAACTTGCTGCTACTGAAAAGCCTCGTCCTTCTCCCTGGTCCCTGCTCCCTGGTACTGGCTGCGGCGACGGGGAAGCGTCCAGCAAAGCAGCGTTCGGCTTTTTCCCAGATCAGTTCTCTGCTGATGAGATGAACTCAGACAAGCACCAGAATGACTAAAAGCAGCAAGACTACATAGCAGGGGATGACTCCTTTTTGTGGCATCAGGAAGTTAATTCAACTTGCACCATCCCATTGCGCTGCACCCCAGCACGTGGAGGAATCAGGAAATGATGCAGGGACAAGGAAATATTACAAGGATTCTTCGCACCATACCGAGCATAACTATATCCAAAGGTTTTCCCAGAGACAGAGTAGCATTTCTTTGGTCCTATCAACATCTTTTCCTCAGCCTTTCCAGAAGCTTGAACTGTTTGCCCTGCCTAGAAGATATTTCCAAGGAAGATCTTTCTTCTTCTATTCTTCCTGGGCAGAACCTCTCACACAGTCCCATTTTGTCAAAGGACAAGGTCCGTCAGCTCGCTGCCGCCGAAAGTCCCATGCCCGCCTCCTCTGCAGCTACTGTTCCACAAAGTGCTAAGTTTTAAGTAGTGTAACTGTGGGCAACGGGCAATGTGGCTAGCATGGGCCCCAACTTACACAGGTCCACCCTGGAGCAGTTGAGGCATGCTGCAGAGGTGCTGACAGATGTGCTTTATAGTACTGGGGCTGAGACCCACACAAATGACTCCTTTTAATGCCTTTAGGTGCTGACAACATGGCTTTGCTCACCAGTGAGGTGAGTGCCTTCCCTATATCTGTGTTTCTTTTCCATTGCTTAGGGCAAAGGTGACAAAGTTCCTGTGTACCTGAGGCATGAAGGTGAAGTCAAGAACAAAAAGCTGACTAAGAAGGATGTGGTGAACATCCTAAGGGATGTCTGGAAGGAGAAAATTGCACTAGAACAGCAGGTTTGTCCCATTTTCCTTCTCCACAAACATTTGTTATAAGTCAATGCAGCTTGGGAATCCAGGGTCTCCCCCGTGTGCTGCCTAGTGCTTCATCTGGAGGAACCATCTCTGGAACCACTGCAGTCACCCTGAGCTACGTCAGCCACGCTCACGAGTCTGAGACCTCAGCTAGATCGACTGCTGTTATTCTGGGGTGCGATGGCACTCTGTAGACCAGAGATCATGACGATGCAGCTTCTGTCCTGAGGTGGTGGAAACCTTGGCAACATCTGTGCAGCCAAAGCAAGGCCAGGGTTTTATTGCTGGGTTGATTTTAACCCATGCCAATCCGTTGTTAAGCTCCACGGCGTTTGTGCCCGTCCGAGAGAGGAACAGGTGTTGGTACAGGAAAATCGAGGAGCTGGGGCAAAAAAAATCATTTATCTTGGTAAATGAATTAATATAAAAGTGCTTTGTTTTTTTTACATGAAAAACAAAGAATTTCCTTTTCTTTGTCCAGGGTGGGTTGGGAGTAACTACTGGAAAGAAAAGGGGTCAGGGGTGTGTTCTCTACCAAGGCAGAGATTCTGGGTTGTCTGTCCAGGATGATACAAGACTCAAAAAGAGAATAGAAGTGGCTGTTTAATTCTCCCCATGTTAGGGACAAGTATGGTACCATCTCCCCGGATACTGGACGAGCCCTGGCACTTTGCCTCAGTCATATGAGAGCTACCTTGAGAGAGGCAGAGTCACTTTACAGGTTTCTTCTCTTGAGCTAGAAGCCTAGAAACATCTCTGAGATCAGCCCTAAATGGCTTAATGTTTTCTATAGCAGTTGTCTTTTACTTTCAGCTTGGTTTCCTGGGGAAATAGGGTTGCTGCAATCACTGCCTGGCTTTACTTTTCTCCAATAACAGCTTCCATTCCTCAACCCACGAGCCAAACTCAGCTAAATCTGACCAAGGGGTAGTGCCTCACAGGTGACAAGCTCCTACATAATTTACAAAAATAGGTAGGAGAGACTTTATCATCGGCCTCAGCAACAGAAGACTTTCGTTGTAAACTTACCCACGTTCAGAGAACAAACCTGGGAGAAACATTTTGAATGATCTAATAATGGGGGCAGACTCCAGCCAGCACTAGCAGTGTGTGAGATCCCCAACAGATGGGCATCTATAGACAGCTAGACTCAAATGGGCAGATTTGATTTAGTTCTGCTGCTTATGGGAGTTACTCACTTCTTATCCGCAGACAGGGAAGCGATCCTGTCTTCCTGAGTTCTTTCTCGGCTACCTCCAGAAGAAGTACGGAGATGCCGCTGCCGTGGAATGGTCTTACACCCTCTACGAGAACATGCGGCTCTGTCCATCAAGCCATGTCCTGAGCTCGTTCTACAACATACTCACCGGGAAGGTAGGCAACCCGCAACCCAATTCCGCACCTCTGCCCGGACATCCCCAGTGTGACCGGCCTTCCTCTGCAAAATAAAAGTAAACGCTGACACACACTGGAGAAGGGAATCCTGTACGTGCAAGACATGGCAAGCTCTTACTGCTCCCAACAGAGCTTCTAGGAGACCTCATTTGTTTCAAACACTTTAGTCACATCGCATCTGCCCTCTCCAATGAGAGGCTCATGCTTGCAACACTTACATCCAGGCCTCTTTCTCTCGGTAGGTCTTTCGTGACTCATGATCTGTCCCTGTGCAGTGTTTGTAGAGATCAGGACATAGTTTCTGAACTGCAGCACCGTGCAGGCCCTGGCAGCCTTGCTCCCTGCTCCCCAGCACCATGTCAGAGCCGGAGAGCTCTAGCTGCATGGCCTCATCCTTCCATCTCCTGTAACACAAAGACATGTTGTAGCCCTCCCAGGTCCTTTTATATTTGCCCTACTTATGTCTTGCTTGGAAATGGGAAAGTGGCTGGGCTTAAGTGCCACCTTCTGGGCAGGGAGGCTGCCCCAAGATTCTGGGGGATCGAGGTTGTGCATTTGCACCTGAGAGCTTCACAGTTTAAGCAAGTTGTTCAACAAGAAGCTACTGTGAACTGCCACCCTGCAACCACATTGCTTGCTTAATTATTTGTAAATCACTGAAAGCTGCCCAGGTAGAAGTTGCTTTAGAAGCGAGCACGGTCCTTTTGCAGTTTTGCGTCCCTCTTGAAGGTCATCCAAGGGATAGATACTGACCTGTCAACCTTCCCCGTTTCACAGGTAGGTGAAGAGCAGTACCATGGCCAGAATCAGCTGATTTCCAGCCTGCAAGAGGAGCTGGCTGCCTGCGACAGCTCAAACAGCGGATCCCTGAGCAGCAAGCAGTTCAGGCAAGAGGTCCACCAAGCTCTGCCCACATCTGGCACACGTCAGATGTTGTGATATGCTGAGTCTGCTTTGCTTATCTGCCAGTGCAGCCAGGGGAGGAGGTTTTCCTCTCTCTTTTAAACTCCTGTGCAGACAGCTGTAGCAAGTCTATCCTGGATAACTTCTGCATTAGGTTTAGAATAACATCAATACTGCAGGTTTTGAGCAGTGCAACTGAAGAGGCCCGAGAGCAGACACAGGTTGCTTCACGCATATGCTGGAACAGGCTGGCAGCCCCTGCACCCTGCCGCGCTCCCCGAGGGGACACAGCACCCTACACAGTGCTCCCATGAGCTGCTATGATAGGTCACAAAGTATTTCTGTGTATTTTGCTGCAGGTGCAAGGTTTGTCAGTCTTCTCCCAGTCCATCAAGCAGCTGTGCCTTAAGTGAAACTCTAAATACAGCCTTTCTTTGGGCCATGGCACAGAAAAGAAGCACCAGCCATTTCCAGCACTTAGTTGGGAACACTGCTCCGGTACAGACACGTTAACCAATTCCATCTGGGCTACCAGCTAACCCATACTCATGGTTGCATTCAGAGTTTCCCACTCAGCTGCGCATCCAACGCTCACCCGAGTCCTAAAATCTGCTGAAAGCTTTGCCCTTGTTTTGGTGTCTGAAGGTGCATGTGCTTCTCGAAATGTGCTTCCTGCAAAAGCAAGGACTTTTTGAAGATCTGGCCCATGGAATACGTGCACAAATTGGCAGCCTAAAAAACCAGCCAGCCTCACTGGCCGTTGTTAAGTGCTCATATTGTAACGGCATAGACACGTCTGTCCACATTGTCTGTCTCCATACAGCATGGCCGTGCGGGAAGCTTTTCCCCTGAAAAGGAAAGAGTCAATCCAAGAACTAGTCGATGCAAGCAGGTACAATATGGACAGCACTGAAGATCTCGTTGACTACATATCCTTATTTAAAGAAGTAAGCTGATGTTACTTAAGTTTTCCGTTTGATTCAGATTAAGCATCATTTAGGGCTTAAATTAGTTTTATCAGACTAACAAAGTTGCAGTGCCCACCACAAGCTCTAACGGCTGAAGGCCATCTGCAGACAACGGCAATGCAAGCTTACGCCTTTTCTCTGATAGGAGTTTTTCCATATTCTTTCTCTTTATTTCCATTTTTCACATGGAAATTCCATTTCTAGGAGAACCAAGTTATTTTAATACACATTGCGGGGCAGCTCCTATCCAGACGGGAACAGACGTTCAGTGCTAATGCACCTGTAATGTAATTTCTTTCAGGATGAGGAGGGGAACGTTGAACCTTTCGTTGCCAAGCTCAGGGACCAGTACGTCAGGGAGAAGCAGGACTACCTGAGACAGCTGAAGAACAAGCTGGGAGATTTAACGTGAGTCTGGAGGGAAGGGGCTGATGGGGACAGTCGATCAGGAGAGCGTGTGCGGAGGGAACCCCCGCCATGGACACGGGAGTGTGTGGCCAGCGCAGGGCCCCCTGCACTGTCAGAGGGCCCCAGCTGTGAATATTGCAGTAAATACCAAAACCTGGCTGAGTCCTGCTCTACAAAACGTTGCACAGCAGCAGTTCCTGACCCAAAGGACCTGGGTATGGCAGGCAGTGAGTAGAGAAGATTGGTAGTGCCAATTAATCCCCTTCAGTACGTGAAGCCTCGTATCTGAACGCTCCTCAGCTGTCCAAAACCAGCAGTAAAATCCTGTACATCCTCAGAGGCTGGTTCTGAGGAGGGAGAAGCGTGAACAGGACCAACAACTGCAGATTTAAAGAAATAATTCCGCTTCAAAATAAGATAAACAAGAGGCAATTACTGCTTAGGAAAAAATGTCTGGTGCCAGGCACCGAGCACACTGAAGGTGGGTAGATGCCTGTGAAGTTAAGTACTGTCCAACGTGGGCGCTGAATTTGCAAGGGAAAGCGTAGTTCTGTAACGAAGGATATCACAGTGCGCAACAGAGCGCATTGAAGGTCTTCCCAGGTTATCACAAGTCTAACATTTACGTTTCCTAACTTCTGTTAATTTGAATAACAGAATAACATACATAATAACATATTCTGAAATTTAGTACTTAGCCGTCTTTATTACACGTGTATTTAAACAACAAAGGAATACTAGTAGAGGCAGAGATAACAATATCAAAGGACATCTTTGCTCTGCAATCCAAGCAGCATGGATTCTCACTGTGGCGCAAATATGTAAATATTCCTTTCACATACTACAGCATAGCAGTGACTGAGTTGTTTTTCGACAGAGAGGTGAATGCAGATGATCTGAAGACTGCTTTCTGCACGATCGATCCTGATATTGATGATCAGACGCTGGATACCTACATTGGCCTGGTTTATCAGATCCAAACAGAAGAGCCAGACCACGAAGCTGTCCCTGTGGAAACCGTACTGGAGAGACTACTCGCTGGGGATGTGAGACGAGTAGGGCCCTCACCCAGGGAGGGAAGCACGAAGGAGAGTAAGGACACTTCCAAGTATTAAGAATAAATGGACTGTTCGATCTCCAGGTTTGGATACTGAGCTCAGCGAGACTTGCCTTGCCCCAGGGAGGTTGCCTGATCCCCAAACAGAGGCTTCACACCCCCATGGCACTGGGGCACCGTGGGGTGTGGGGCTCTCTGCTTGCTGACAAAACAACTATGCTCCAACAGCCATTACTTGAACCCAAGAAGCCATCATCAAACTCCAGGCTGCAATGCGGCTGCTTTAGGCCTTTGGTCTTATGGTTCCTTGGCTCAAAGAGGGAGGGTTTCAAAGATACGTTTGCAAAATAAGGTGTCATCAGCACAGTCAGTGCGCACATGAAAAGCGAGTTCAGCCCATGCCAGGTTTGCTATCATGTCTGTCCCCAAGGAGACTTTTATCCTGGTGTAGCTGCTGTTGGCCAGTATGGTTGCTTTGAAAGAAACTCAAGTGCTGCCCCAAAAGGAGGTTTAACCAAACTCCCAGCTGGAAAAATAATCCAAGCACACAAAGACTGAAATCTGTTCTTTGCTTCAAGGCAGACACCACGTGCGTTTTTGTTGCTGCCTTTCCAACCACTGGCATCGATTAATCTTTCCTATTCATTAGTGTCCTCTCTATCCAGCATATAGCCCTCTCCAGGGAGGGCAATAAGGGTTCTTAAAACAAAAACCCCGTAGGAAACCAACTCAGCTATGGTTATTCCTAAATTGCTGAGTAAGTGGAGCGAACATGAGAAGCAAACCCCGTTCTTTTTCTCATAACATGCTTCGAAAAGTAGAAAGGGGTAAGCTGAAATCAGTAGATACCTTCCTGATAAAGCACTTAGTTTCATGAGCGTTTGCAAAACCTGATTGCATTTGTGAACTGGAAGGGTGTCACTGCCGGTGTGACAAAGTACGAGGCCCCAGGGGTTTCTGCCTTGAGTACCGAAATTGGTGCTGGGCGCTCCCAACGCCAAGGAAAGAAATGATAAAAGGATTGAAAAGGGAGATGCATCATCTAGCCAGAAACCAAATGTCCTAACTGCAGGTATTTCTAGGAATATCTGAAAGGAGGGGTTGGAATACGGCAAAATTCACTGTATCTATAAAGAACAGCGATCGTAAACATCAAGAAAGTGTTTGGTAGATGATCATTAGATTTGCAAAGCTCTTCAAGAAAGCCCCTAAGAGGGAGGTAGAGAAAGCAGTGGGCTACACAGAGCAGGAATCACTCGTTTTGCTTCACCTTGAAGACTTTAGATCCCAAAAAGTTAACGGCTGTTTACAGCGCCAGGCACCTTTCTTTTGCCCTTCCAGTTACATTGTTCGGACTTGAACACTGTGTCCCCAGAATTCTTGAATTTAGTTAGCCCTGACTTTACTGCAACTAGAAGCTGAACAGGTCTCAAGAGAAGAGGAAGACCAGGTGGGGAATCTTACCTCTCCCTCTCACAACATTCCCAACTCCGAAGCCCCATCATCTCCTGCCTTCAGCTGGAGGCTGTGCAGCTCAGAAACCCAGCAGCTGAAGAAGCTGGTTGCAGATGTGTGTCCTCAGCAGCGTGGCTGCATGAAGGGGCAACACAACAAAAGGAAGGAGGAACCAGCAGCTTCTTCCTGGGAGTTCTCTCCTTTGGAAAAGAGGGTTCTCTGAGTGCTTCAGCACCACAGAGGAAAGTTGGAAACTTCATTACTATTTCAGATCAAAATTTTACAAATTCTGGCGTGCAAGGCCTTAAGAACACACTCGAAAAGTCCCATAATGGCAGAAAATGTATTTTTAAAAGTACAAGTTTTGCAATATGTTTGTTCAAAGAACAAAGCTGTTTCCTTTTGAATACTGAAAAAAATTCCCTTTGTTATATTAATGGAATTACTTTTTTAAAAAAAATACTTGACAAATGACCGACCTTTGTATTGGTATTGCCTGCCAAAGAGATTTTAACTATATTGGTCATCATTTCCTTTAGTGTTGTGCAAAAGCCGTTTAACTCGCAAGCGTTGCTGCCAAGAGCTGGGTTGGATTTCCAGGAGCCCTTATTAACTGTGCCGTTTGGCTGTAATTTTGGGACACTACAGACCGTCCCACCCGGGAGCGTCAGAAGAGCCAGCAGTGAGAGGATGTTTGCGCCAAGCTTTGACTTACCCTGCCTGGACATGCTGACCATGCTCAGCCCCACTCTGCCCTACGTAAGGAGACTGCAAAAGCAGCAGCCTCGAGCCATCCCTTCTTCACAGGCATCTGGAAATTAATTAACTGATTTAAAGACTCAAGTCTAAGTCAAATTCATCAAATCAAAGGCTCAAGGTTTTCAAGTTCAAGACAGAGATGCTAGGAACTGGGGGGAAAAAAACCACAATCTATTAATTTTTCTCAAAAATTAAATAAGCATCATGTCTTACCTTACAGGCTAGCTAAATAAAAGGAAACCACATTAAGGTGTCAGACTGACCCCCCGGAAAGACACTAAAGAAAAAACACGAGAGAAAGCTTGACATCCATATCCATCCCTCCAAAACCAGTGAGGCAGGCATCATTCTTCGCCAGCTTGTGAATTGTTTCACAAAGCCACAGTCCTTTGCACCCAAAATGCCCTGCTGTGGCTGACCTCATTCCTGGTGCAGTTTAGGTTCACCATAAGCAGTAAAATCACACACAAGGATTTTGTGTTTATTGTCTCCTTACCTGACCAGGGAGCGGAATGTGGACCAGCTCCTCTGCGCAGCAACCGCCTGTAGAAAACTGCAGGTGGAAAGCTAAGAGGCACCATGGCTCACACTGGGAGTGGAGCAGCAAAACCCACACGGCCGTGTTGAACACGCAGAGGATTTATTTGCACTTTGTTACTTACAGAGTCGCTGCTTGGATCTTGCAGCTTTGGATCATGACGTGGGACACCAGCACACAACACGAACGGTAGCAGGCTGACCTGTTTGAGTTTCGCAGAGCAAACAGCAGCTTAGGGAGGTGGACCCTGCTTCACAGATCAGCTTCTGGCACTGCCCGCCTCCTCGGTGACACTGCCAGGCGTGAGCAACTGCCTTCCAGACACACCTCTGTGCGTAGACAGGGGACAGCACCAGGGCTGGCAGAAAACAGCTGCGCAAGTGCCACCTTCAGCTGTGTGGTTACACCACCTGCAGTGGGGTGCTTTAACCATAGCTGGCTGCCAGGCACCCACCCAGAGGCTCTCTCACTCCCCTCCAACTCAGCGGTGGAGGAATTAAGATTAAAAAGCTCACGGGTCAAGATAAAGACAGGGAGATTGCTCACCAGTTACTGGCAGAGTCAAAACAGACTTGAACTCTGGGTCCCTCACAGGCTGCAGGTGGATCTGCTCCAGCGTGGAGCTCCACAGGCTGCAGGGGGACAGCCTGCCTCACCATGGTCTTTACTACGGGCTGCAGGGCAGTTTCTGCTCCAGCAGCACCTCCTTCTTCACTGCCCTCAGTGGCTGCAGGGGTGTTTCTCTTGCATTTTTCTCCTTACTCCATTCTGGAGCTGGCTGGAACCAGCTCTGTCCAACACGGGGGCCAAAGGCACTCCTGCAGCCTTCCCCCGTGCCACTACCAAAACCTTGCCGTGTAAACCCAACACACACAATTAACTCCACCTGAATTGGTCTCTCCCAGCCTACCTACCACGTGTGCCCCAGAAAATGTCACCTCTCCAATGGTCTCAAATTATTGCTTGCCAATTCCCCGTGAGATTTAGTTCTATATTAAGTATAAAGTATATTCTCCTGTTTCAGTTTACACCAGTAAACAGCTGTGGTCACAGCTGGATCATGATCTACTCTTAACAGAGTAGACTACACTTGCAAACAGGGACAAAACCCGAGTTTGAAAGGCCCTGCTGGACAAAGACACACAGCTGTAGCAAGGATCTGCTTCCTTCCATAAGGCAGACTGTAACTTTTCTTCTTTGAGCAAACAACTAGTAAATATGAAGAGCATCACCACAGCTAAATGGCTATTAGGAACATTTTGAACAACGCAATGCAGTAGCCTTTCAGCTTACTGGAATAAGCAGCATTTGTATCATGCAGAATATATATAATATTTTATTTATCAGAGCTGTACAAGTATTCAAAAGTAACATGAAAAATTCAGGATAGTCAAATTACTTGTAATATCGGTTGGTGAGATCCAGCAGTTGGTGTGACAGCCACAGCACAACCCGTTTCAGTTCAAGGGAACCGATTTATTTACAGCCCCACTGATTCCTTGTGGAAAACCATCACATGGAGCAGTTACATGAACAACCTACAGTGGGGCACCTTCCCACCCGGAGGGGCCATTGCTGCCGAGGGGCACACTCATTTGCAGGGGATCACTTTATTTCCACTCACAGCAACCGGAATCAGGAGCTTCCTGTACTCCAGAGGGAAGTAACGCTCTATCAGCACATTCAACGGCATCTTGTCTGTCACCAGCCTTTGTCTTTCAAGGAGGAAAGCAGAGAAGAAACAGAGAATTGTTAGCAAAAAGAGTAAAGTTTTCTTGCAGTAACATTTTTGCATTTAACAGCTGAAATGTGGTGGCTACTTTTGATAGAAGAGCTACAGATTTCTATTTGCAGGCAACTTTCTCAGGTGATGCGCTAGGTCTTGCATACGGCACCGGCACGGGCACCAGCCATGCCTATGCAGGAAAGTGAACCAGGAGATTTCCTGCAGACCAGCTTCCCATGGGGCTACCTGTTTGTCACAGCCAGAGTCAGCATATTGATCTTTACTGAAGGTCAAGTTCATTGCTTTTTAAATTCGCAATCCACCTGCCATGGGATAAATTTTGCCATTTAAAGACATGCACAGAATGAGGTAACAGAAGCCAATAGCTCGTTACCAACAGATTTTTTTACGTTTCAAATTCAGAGGTGGTTGGCATTTTCAAACTGTGTAGGCCATGTAGTTTTCTAGTACACCATTTAGATTATTGGCCTGGAAAAAAAAAAAAATCAGCATCTCCTGGTCTTGTAGAAAGGAAAAAACAAATGCTTTCCTTGTGAAAGGAAAATACTGTTCTTATTCA